CAATTCAAATTCTCATTTCAATTATAGCCATTACTGATTTCAATTTTGACTCATTCTCATTTCAAGATGCCAATTCAGTCAAATCTCAGCCATTCATTCAAAACAAAACCCAAAAGAGTTGTTAGGTCGTGCACCAAAACCTGTTTTGCTAAAAATGGGGCGCGACACCACTGAATGCATAGTGTCCTCTTAGGGTAATTATTCCCCTCTAATACCTGAGGTTTAAAGGAATAGATCATCTTGGGATAGAACGATTCTATTCACCAATTTATTGATCCAAAAACAATGGTGTTAGTGAGCCACTCAATAAGAGAAAAGTACACAAATATTTAATTGTGTAGAAGAAAAAGAAATTCGGAATCTTCGTTGTTTTAAAATGAGAGGAAATTCCTCTATTTATTGACAACAAAGGATAGTGTGAACAAATGCTTATTGTGCCTTATCGGAAAAGTCACAAACTTTTATAAAATTCACAATTTTTCATAAAAGTCGCAACTCTTCATAAAATTTGCAACTTTTCATGAAAGTCACAACTCTTCATATTTCATTCACACCTTTTTAAAATCCAACAATGTGTACTTCAGATATCAATTCAAAGCTCTAATAAATGACATTGACCTTCAATCTACATTGTACCACCCCTACAAAAAAAATGATTAACTCAAATCAGCAAAGGTATAAAGTAAAATTATCGAGAAACGGTAGACTAATGCATGCAACAATGCAAGTATAGATAGGATTAACGGAGAAGCAGTCACAATTCCAAAATTAAAAAGAAAATTCTCAAGGTATAACTGTTATATATGCATCTAAGTCAGCTAACTCACATAGTTTGGCCCAATATTTCATTTTGTTACTAAATGGTTAAACTTAAGTTTGGTCTAGTATTCCAATCTGACGATCAGTTTCTTAAGTAAGTTCAAAGGGGCTAATATTAATACATATGGAATATTTGAGGGAGGCTTAATTTGTAAGATGGTGGTGACGGTTGTGAAAGTTTCTGAGAGGAGGGAGAGGCTAGTTTTGGAAATAAATAAAATAAAAAGGAATCCTGATTTGTGGTGGCGCCACGTAGGCGGGCCTAAGGCTCTTTTATATATACTTAATTAAGAAGATATATATTTGATCTTCATTCTTTTCATCATTATTTTTTAATGCAAATGTAAGTTTTATATATAAACACATTATTCAATATAAACGATCTATCGTATTTAGAACATAAGGGATAAATTGTAAATATGGAACTCACGTTCCCAGAGACTTTTCAATCTATTTGGGTGCACTGAAGGAAACCGTTTTGCAGCCTTATTACAAAGAACCCTTTTATCCCAAAAAGGAAAATTATTTACAAGTGGCTATTTCTTTAATTTCATACCCCTTTTGTTTCTAACTACTAAGTTGTGTTTACTATTTGATTTCATCAAAATATACTCTGATGGGATCAAAGAGGAAGAAGCAATGCTTCTGTGAAAACACTACTCAGTTACTCATCTATACCATTAGAGTATATATATACCCTAATAACATCAAGGAGGAAGAGACAGTATTTCAGTGAAAAGAATGTTCAATTAATGCTTGATACAATCAGAGTATATAGATATCATCAAAGTATATATATATTTCGATGGTATCAGTAGTGGTTCAATGAATATAACAAGGGGGCAGTCAGGTAAATAGTTTGGGTTGTGTCCACTTAGAGTAAATATATTGGGTTGAGTCCAATTTATGTAAATACTTTGCCCAATGGGTTCAATTTGTGTAGTTTTCCCTTACAAAATGACACAACAGACATCTACATGAGATGTTTAAAACGAACAAAGCTTAGTTAAGAAATCTAAGTAAAAATTGATGCCAACTTTAAGTGACCACCCATAAGTTTGGCCCTTCTAAAATTTATCCACTCGATGTTTATACCAATATTGTTTGTCTTGAAGTTATGTGTTTAGGAGAGGATCTTTCATTTATTTATTTCCTCACATACATAAATCATATATAAGTTTCTTCACTAGTATATTTGTTTTATACATTTGATTTTTGATATGCTTTACTTCAATCGAAGGTCAATAGGAATAAGAATGCATGTACATCATGCTCATCAAATCCATTTGTAAAAATTATACTAAGTATATATGTTATTGTACTCTATTCATATATAGCCTCAAACTCTTGATGCTTCACTTTTAAAAAAATAATTTTGGTTTGGATCAAGTGGATGTCATTTGTTTTTCAAAAAAAAAAACTAACTATAAATCGCTGGAAATCTAATGAGAACATCATATCATATATATATATATATATATATATATATATATAAAGGAGAACTCTAGGTTTGCCTACGTGGCGTCACCAGAAGCCAGGATTCTCTTTAAATTTATTTTATTTTCAAAACTAGCTTTCCCCTTTAATGAAAAGTTGTGACTTTTATGAAAAGTTGTGACTTTAATGAAAAACTGTGACTTTTATGAAGAGTTGCCCATTTCATGGAGAGTTGTGACTTTTATGAAGAGTTGCAACTTTTATGAAAGGTTGTGACGTTTATGAAAGGTTGTGACCTTTCCTAAGGATTGTGACTTTTCCAAAAAGTTGTGACCTTTCTGATAAGGCACAATAAGCATTTGTTCATACTACCCTTTGTTGTCTATAAATAAAGGGATTTCCTCTCATTTTAAACAACGAAAATTCTCTACTTCTTCTTCTTCTGCACAGTAAAAGACTTGTGTACTTTGCTCTTGTTGAGTGGCTAACTGACACCACTGTTTTTGTATCAATACGCTGGTGAATAAAATCGTTACATCCTGAGAGGATCTATTTCTGTAAATCTAGGGTACTAGAGGGGAATAATTTTTTAAGGGACATTGTGCATTCAGTGTACTCGATTTTTCCTTTCTGTTTCATTCTATTGTTACAGATCCTGGTATGTTCTTTTAAAGTCATTAATTTATGCTTATGATATTAATTATTGTTTTTTATTACATGTTTTAAACTTTGTTGTTTATATTTCTGCAAAGTTATTATCTCCAGTTATAATGAACATATACACTCAGTTTCAAAAATTCATGTTTTGATATTCTATATAAAATTATATTGCTTAAAAGTACTATATATAAGCTTACATATTCTCTATTTTTACATAGATAAGAAGTTTCTCACGTATCAATTGAAGAAATTCATTATGCAAGTTCAAAAAGTTATAATTGCTTTCATGTTCAAGCGTAATTTTTTTAAAACAATTTTTTTTATATTTTCATGGGACATATATCACAATTGTATAAACTATGCAATTTAAATGTGTTCTTTTTCTTACGAAACGCCTTCGTATTTATTTTTATTTTCTTCTTTATTTTCCTTTTAATGTTGATAAAAAACCAATGATATATTATTTCTGAATAATTTGTTCATTAGAGTTTCTTGACTTATGTGATAATGACAAACAATCAGATTCATGTTGAAATAATGCTAATATTTATTTAAGAACCTATTTTTTCATTATTTTAATGTATGGATATTAGTAAAAGATTATTTGTAAGTTCAATGCAATTATTCTTCACGCAGGCAAATTATCTAGTATATATATAAAAGAGAATCTTAGGCTCGCCTACGTGGCGCCACAAACCATAATTCATTTTTAATTTACTAGCCTTACCCTTTCATGAAAATTTTTGACATTTATGAAAAGTTTTGACTTTTATGAAAAATTGCGACTTTTATGAAGAGTTCCAACTTTAATGAAAAATTGTGACATTTCCGAAGGGTTGCAACTTTTCCAAATATTTGTAACCGTTTCGAATAAGGCACAATAAATATTTGTTCACATTATCCTTTGTTGTCTATAAATAGAGGAATTTCCTCTCATTTTAAAACAACGAAAATTTTGAACCTCCTCCTCTTCTTCTTCTTCACAATTAAATATTTATGTACTTTGCTCCTGTTGAATGACTCACTGACACCATCGCTTATGTTACAGATTCTGGCATGTATTTTTACAGTGATTTATTTATGCCTATGTTATTAAGAATAAATGATAAGATGTAATAATTTTAATTTTCCTTTACCTTGTTAATGTTTGTTACTATGTAATCTTGTATGTAAGACAATATAATGTTTTACTTTTAATGATTGATAGGATTTAAGTATTATTTTCTAAATTATGTGATATTAAATTCCCGCGCGAAGCGCGAAAATTTTTACTAGTTTTCAAAAAAGATAAAATAAAAAATCCCAGCAAGAAACTTGAAAGAAAAAACAATCGTTCAGCCAAGAGCGAGAGAAAAAAATATAATATACACAAAAAAGCTCACAAGTGAGCGAGTTATGAAAATAAAATAGACGGCATTTACCGTCGGTTAACTCAAAAGGCATCTAGCGATATGTTTGTTTTCGGTTAATTCAAAAATTAAGTTAGCCCTTTTTGCATTTTTTGGGAAAAAAATTGACCATTTTGACTCCAGATTCCACCAAAACAGTTGCTCCATTAAACAAAATTAAATATGATAGGTAAAATAAAATTCCTTACACAAAACTCACCTGAACCCTTCCCCTATCAAGATACAAATCTTAAAATTAATAACGAAAACTGTTAAATTTCCTAAGCTGTAAAATGGTTGACACCATTTTCTTATTTACTCTCTTCACAAAAAATTTCTAAAATTTGCAAACTATTCTACTTGAGGATCAAAGTAAATAACTTTCGAAGAGTTGGCAACGCAACTAATGTACACATCACATCTTTAGCCTTTTTGAAGTCATTTTTAACATATGGTTTTGAAATTTCCACATCAAATTTTACTCGCAAGAAAAATAGAATGGAAAAGATGTGATTGGCGGAATAACTGCGACATTTTCATTTTGAAAATCCCCCATATTTCATATAGCAATATAAACCTCACAAAAAGTGAAAATCACTCAATAATGAAACAAAGCATGAGGAACATCTACTAAGAAATAAAAATTCACCTCCGATATGTATCACAAATTTAACCCTAATAACATTATTATTTTCATTAAAGTATGACCAACTTAATAGCCGGAGGCACTTCACATTCAAGCTGGAGCTTAGCAAGATTTCTCGAAGCTTGCGTGTGTTTGATTTCGCTAGGGCACGGAGGGATACGATAAAAAAATGGAGTACCTGGATCAATAATGATTTTCTCAAGAGCAACACCATTTTCCAAAAAGTACCTAACGAGTTCAAGTTGAAATAAGCCTGTATAAAACCCCGAAAATTTGACCACTTTGAGGTGATGGAGTGGGCATTTTATGGCTGCTTTCTTACACTCTTTCTTTGCCTCGAAGGGGATTGACATCACCTGCCGTAAATATATACAACACAAATTAAAATAAAAAAATAAAATAATGATAAGATAAGTCAGTAAAGCTAATAAAAGAAAATTTTGAACAGGCCTTTTTCTTGGGACACAAGTTAAATGAAAAGAATTAAACTTTGGGGAATCAGTATAACATAAAACTATGTACCAATCACTGATGAACCATGATTGTATCAATCGCTCATGTCATTTGACTTCTCCTACTACTTTGTTCTTCTACAAATTCCCTAAAGTATTTACCACACGGAGGAAGGAAAGTGGGGAATATGGACAAGAATATTACAGACGTGGAGTGCTCAATTTTCTGAGAGAATTGCAACTTCTTTCAACATGTTTGGGTCGACTTATTTTAGACTAAGTTGCTCGGAATCGGTTGTGGATCTAAATTTTAAGATTCGGGATATATGGCTTCCTTGATCGACTGAATGAAAACTTCCCATTATCATGTAAGATGCCTCCTAGTCAAGTTGACTAATTCAACAATATTCAATCACCACTACTCATTATCCATGTTCTAGACTCTCTGTGAGAAAAATCTTAACTTGGAGAAATTAGGAAACAAAAGAATACATAAGTGACTTATCATATAAACATATTCGAGCTGCATGCCGGACTTGCTAACCGAAATGAACCTTCTCCTACATTTCTTTTCAAGAACCAAAAGATTTGTGCCAAAAAGAACAAAAGTTCTAGGAAACCTAATCAGAAGGTCTAGAAGATTCTCAACCTAACCAGTTGTACAAGGTCTAGAAGATTCTCAACCTAGGCACAAGGAAGGCACGTGAAGAGCAAAATGGCTGTTAGTGTTTGTTACAAACTAGTCCAATAATTAGGTGCCAAGTGTACAAATAATCATTGTTTAATTCATTTATTTTGGTACAGAATTTAGACCTAGTTTTGTATAAATACAATAGCATGTACAGTAAACTTATGAGGTGGAATACACAGAAATTTGTGTATACAATTTCTTTGGAATGTGATATTCAAGTTTTCAAAGCATATGATGATAACCAATCATACACCCATTCCAGCAGAGTGCAGACTTGGGAATAGGCGAATCTTAATGCAAATTCGAGAAAATGAAAAAAGCTATAGAGGGATCCATTGATTTAGCGGAACAGCAATAGCAATCTTATGATAGTGTTGGCAATCTGATTATGGTTAATAGAAAGGAAACTGAACTTAAAAGGCAGACTTTGAGTTCAAACAACAATGCATGTCGAAAAATTATACATAATCAGATTGCTGGATTGGTAAGTATGATCAGAAAAAGGTGAACGGATATAGAAAAACGAAAAGCCTAAAGGAACCACTTAGTAGAACTGGAACAAATAACCAATGCTAAAAAACATCCTGGAAACAACAATTGAGGTGTTTCTGGTTAAATGAATGAGACAACATACTAGAGGTGTCAAATGGGCGGGTTGGTTGAAATTGGAGATATTAAAATGGGTTGAAATAGAAATTAGGTTGAGTCTTGACCCGCCCAAGTTTACTTTGGGCTCAAATGAGCTTAAAAATGGTTGGGTCTTTACCCGCTTAATCTCAATAGTTTTAATATATTGTTTATTTAAGTTTTATAACCACATTTTAGATTTCAACTTAAGAAAATTACCAAAAAAGTTACAAATGGATAGATAAATCCTAAAAAATATAAAACAAAAGTAATTCATACCTTCAATATAAGAACATACATTACATCAATACAAATAAAGAGTCTTAAAATGGGTTGAAATTGAAAATTAAATTGGGCTCAATTGAGGATTCTCTTAAAATGGGGGGTTGAGATTAAACCTAATTCAAATTATCTTAAGCCCAACCCTTAAAATTATGGGCGGGTTGGGCGGGTTACCTATAGGTGGGCTCATTTTTGACACCCCTACAAAATACTAAGTGTTTTACAGTAAATTGATCAATACAAATAAAAAGTACAGCCATATAAACTAACTTGTAAGAGATGGACGAACTACCAAATCCAAAGGTCATCAGATGAGTGTAATGCTATGAGAAGTTATTTAGTAAAACCGAGCAATGATGGCGCCTTCCAGTTACAATGACCTTGAGCTATTATCACGGGAAGAGTGTTGGCTACTAAGAAATTTTCTCGGAGAAGTAATGGAGATGGTCTAGTGGTGATAACAACTTTAGGGCCAGATGGGCAGATAATGTCTTCTTACCAGAAATCTAGGAACTTTTTGGAAAGGGACATTATCAGTGCATTGCACTTCTTTCATGAGACAGAAATTTTTACAAGAGGCTGGACTGCAATATTCACAGCATTGGTTCTTAAGAACAAGGTAAAAGGATGAGATTACTACCGGGGTCCTAACAACAAGGATGAAACAAGTATTGGCAAGTAGATATCAAGGTCAAAAAATGCATGTATTTGTAAAGGGAAGGACAAACTATAGATCCAGTGTTATTAGAAAATGAATTCTTGGAGCCTTAAATAGAATTAAAGTAGCAAGAATTATTTGTTAGCTGGACTTGAGAAAGGTGTACTAGACTTATTCAGATCGATGGATCTCGTCTCCTTAGCATCAATGCCAAGACTCCGTCCAAATCTGTCACTCCTTGAGTGAAGCCTTCTTTACTATGAGAGCACCGATGAATGATTCATTCTCAAGTTATCACCTCAGACTAGGGACAACACAGGATCAAGCAAAGATTTGACCCGGTGGAACAATCATGTAAACTGGCAATATTACTGAAGCTTTTGAATCAACACGGTTTGCAAACAAATGGAAAAATATAATTAGGATATGCAGTTAAATAGGAGAACCCCGTTATCCCATTCTCTTCCTAAGCAATGGAAACATTCAGTAAGATGCTGCATTATGCCATGAATATAGTATGGATAAAAGGAGTCAAAAGTTGGGGAAAGTTGTACAAATGAAAATATGGAAATTTTTCATGTACACGATATGCAGACTATACCCTATTTCTATTTGGACTTGAGGAGCGTACGATCATGCATCACAGATCTCTACTATTACACTTTGAGACAGCACTTGACTGCGTTTAAATTGAGAATCCAGGCTGAGACATACATGAGCAAGTCTCTAAATGCCAGATATAGAAGTGCAATAATATGGCAGAGAGTGATACATAAGGTTGAGAAGATTGGCAACCCGCAAGAAACTGTTTCTATCATTTTTTAAGGTGCAAAGACGGTTCGATAATGCAAGGAGAAAGATGTGGCAAGTTGATTCAAAGAGCATAAAAATAGAGCTATATTCTCTAAGAAGAGTAGTTCATAGATAAAAACTTTGGGTATTAAAAAAAGTGTCTACTGTCGAATTAGTTTGTGGAGATAAAACACAGTAGAGCAAAACAATTTATGGATTAAGATGTTAAACATAGAGCATGGCAACGATATGAGATGTTCAAAAGCAAAACTAATCAATACATCTGATGATGTCACAGTTTGAAAGTACATTAGAACTTATGGAATTGATTCTTTTAATCTTGTGAAAGCTTTTAGTTGCAAGAAGAAGATAAAGTTTCATGTACGCCGGATCAAGAAGCTTTAATAACTTATTCAGAATTACATCTCATAGCTATCCATATAAAAGATGTGATTGAAGAATACAGAGAAAGGCTATCTTTTAATATTAGATTAAGAAGGAGATTGCATGACTGGGAGGTTGACAGAACAACAGAATCTTCTACTTGTAAAGGTTGGAGCCCTCTTGGTGCTTTTTTAAATAACACAGTGGGAAAAGGCATAAAAACCCTATGGACTTACCTCAGTTTTCCAGTTACACACTTATTCTTTGTGATGTCCCTACGACCCCTATACTATTTTGTAGTGCAAAAAGTACCACCGTAAGTACTGACATGGAAAAAATAAACAATGATGGTGGCTCTGTTTTCTTGCGCCTTGCTACCCTAATTTAAACAGCATCTCCCCTACCGTTTAAATGTTACCCTTTTGATTTCAAACCCTTTTGAAATTTTTGGTCAATTTTTTTGCCCTTCTGGCTCCGTACTCGTGTTTTTCCTTTCAAGTTCTTTTGTGGTTGAGATTATCAATAGTTTTTTTTATAATGTTTCGCGGTAATTCTTTTATTTTAATTATTATTTTATTACTTTTATTGTGATATGTATTGTTTTTTATTTAATTTAACTAGTAACTAAAATTATTTTTATTGACTTCACTATGTCTATAGTGATTTATATGATTGTTTTTTATAGTTATAAATGCTAATATGATTTAATTGCTTTGGAACTTATGTTTTCTACTTCCATTAGGAAAGTAAATTTCCTCATTTTTAAGGAGCTTGTTTTCCTAGAAAAAATATTTCACAAAATATATTGACCAACCAATCATGAAAATAGATAAACATTTTTCTCCATATAAAACACACCCTAGATAAAATTTTTTACTTTTATTGCTTGATTTTTATTGAAAATATTATGCACACAACTTTAGCCAAGTGCGTGCACCCACTCATGAGTAGGAAAAACATAATTTGTGTATCTACTCAGCTACAAAAAAAAAAATCCTGGCTCAGACACGGGGGTGGGGGGCATGGATGGTGGCCTGGTGGGACAAGTGGTGGATCACCGCTCAAGATTTAGAAAAGGGCCTAAAAAGTAGAAGAAAAATTATATCTTTTGGACTCTAGAGCCTCTATCATTTAGCTTGTATTTGTCTTTTCATGCACTATATGGAGGTGCAAAGTAAAAGCCACATCAACACTTCCTATGGTATTATTCTACTACAAAATAATTCATAGAACAACTTCAAAGAATAAGTGTAACAAGAAATCCGATACAAGTTCGGGTATTTTTTCTCTTTTCCCTTGTATAATCGTTACTTGATTTTTGAAAAAATAAATATTCAAGAGAGAGAAAACATCAGATACCATGTGAAGCCCTAAGCCTCCTCTACAATACCATCCAGGCTCGATTCTGACTCTTTGAGCCTGGAGTCATTTGATTGGGATTCGGGATGCCACCTTCGAATCCTACTATAGAATTTGGAAGTTCCCCTCGGTTCTAACAACATTTTGTAATCCCTCATCTCTGAAACCTCTACCCCAGTGCATTCCTCCTTCACCCATCTACCTAGCTAGGCAGCAAATTACTTCTCAATTTTCTTAGTTGGTTGTTCTCATTTGAAACCAACCAGTATAATTATGACAAGAAAGTAGGTTTATAAAAGATGCTCAGGGTTGGAATTTAAGGTTCAGAAGACCTTTAAATGAATGGGAGGTGAATAGAATGGTTGAATTTCTAAATATCCTGGAACGATACAAGGAACTCAGTAATAGTGAAGACAAACTGTTATGGGCTCCAGATACACAGGAGAGATTCTCAGTTGGAACAGCTTACAGAAACTCACAGAGGACACACACTCAATCAAGCTACTGGCCATGGAAAATGATCTGGAAAGTTAAGGTGCCCTTCAAGGTGGCATGTTTAACTTGGCTCTTAGCAAAACAGGTTGTTCTCACACAGGATAACCGTATGAAGAAGGGCCTCGATTTGTGCTCCAGATGTTTTTTTTGTGAATGTGAGACAGAGACAATAAATCATCTCTTTTTACAATAAATGGGTGTATGGCATACCCAAAATCTCTACATCAACCAGCATCGGGACTTTCTTAAGCAGTAATACTTTTCCTGCTGAAGTCCTTAATGATATAAGATTTGTATCACAAATTTTAAGTGATTTTACATTGAAGCAGCTATATATCTCCAAGTGTCTCAACTTGAGGGACGGACCAACAACTTCCAAATTTTTCAATGTTCCTGATCCATGAACTTGCATTCTTTCAAGAAATGGACAATTGCGTAGAAAGAACTCAAGAACTTGGCCCGTCACATTTACAGATTTCAATATAAGCACTTTTAGAGACTTGAAATTCTGGTTGATAAGTGAGAGTATTTGGAGGTTATTAGAGCATGAAGAAGAATCTCCAAGACCAAGGAGCCGCTTCGGAAAAGTATAACAGGAATCAAAATTACGAGTGAATGATCCACACCTTAATAAGTCTAACTCTAGTCTTTGAACTTTCTTAGAAAAGGCAAGTTCAAGCCATTTGTCAATGTCGTGCTGAGCAAATTTGTTTAAATCAAAGTAAACACGAAATTGGTCAAGTCTCTGGCCTTTAAACTTTTGCAAAGCAGAGTTGACCCATGTCAGATACTTGTCCATATGCCCTTTTTGTAGCTTGGGTTGCACGAACACTTGATCCAAGTATTTTGTAGCATCAAAATCAAGGTGATCAATATATGTCCATAAGTTTAGCCAACGCCTTGAGAGGAGACTTGTATCTGCAGCTTCCTTAACAGTAAAGAAAGACAATATATATACCAGAATTTCATCAGGTAACTGACTGATACGATCTTCTTGTGCAATGCAGACTTCCTTTTGACACTAGAAACAAAAAAATTGATCAAACCACAAGAATGACAAGAGACTGAAGAAAAGAGATATGGGGTTGAGAAAAACACCTTTTTTAAAGCAAATTTGTTGGAAAGTCGCAGTCTTTTCTCCATGGGTTCTACATAAGATAATGTTTGTATTATTTTTAATTTTTGTTCCAACCAGGAAGATACAATCATTGCCGAAAGCTAACAACAAATAAAAAGGGGACCTTCATTGCAGTTTAGATGCAAAAACAAAGGATAAAACAGAGACAGAGTACCACAAAAACACACTATTTTTTTTATAAGATCAAAAATTGAGAGTAGGATTCACGATTACTAGAGGAAGAAGAAGAAAGATGCTGCTGCGCTGTTCCAAATTGAGAAATCGCTCTTACCGTGAGGACGACAGACTAGGGCAAATATTATATATAGTTTTTGCCTTTTATATAAATACTAGTTACAGTAGCCCGTGCTAGCACAGGCCTAACATATATTTTTATTTTTTATTTTAATTTATGTGACATTAATAAAATTTTAACGGTCAAACAATTTTTTTGTATGTTCTTTAAATTTTAAGTTGTTTAAAAAATGATGAAGAACTTATCTGTAATTGAAACTCTAGAAGAATATAGATGAAGAAGCAATTTGACATGCAGCTCACTGAAACTTTCATCTATACTCTTCTTAGCGAAATCCAAGACTTATGTAAAGTAGACGAAGGAAAAACAAATAAAGAATTTGAAAAAATTAAATGATGAACAGATTGAAATGTAACCCACTGTGAAGATGAAAAGAATCAGAAAGTTCTTGATGAAGACTAAGGGTGTGTTTGGTATGAAGGAAAATGTTTTTCATCGAAAATGTTTTTCTAGAAAATGTTTTCTTGGAAAACAAGTTGATTTTTGACTTATTTTCTCATGTTTGGTTGGTGAGTAGAAAATATTTTCCGAAAAAGATTTTTAGTGTTTGATTTATGAATGAAAAATGTTTTTGAAAAATTTCTTTTATTTTTACTAGAGTAGAAAATAATTGTTGAAATTGAAAATATTTTTTAAAAACAAACTTAATTTTTTTTGGGGTTGGGGGCTGGTAGGGGGTGGGTGGGGATGGGGGGTGGCGGGGGGCCGAGGGTAGGGGTGAAAAATTGAAATTTTGAAGTTAAAAATATTTTTTAAAAACAAACTTAAAATTTTTTTTGGGGGGTGGGGGGGTTGGTAGGGCGGGGGGGGGGGGGGGGGGGTTCGAGGGTAGGGGTGAAAAAAATGAAATCTTGAAGTCGAAAATATTTTTTAAAAACAAACTTAAATTTTTTTTTGGGGAGTGGGGGCGTGGTAGGGGGTGGGTGGGGGCTAGGGTAGGGGGGGTCGAGGGTAAGGGTGAAAAAATGAAATAATGTTTTTTAAAAACAAACTTAAATTTTTTTCCTTTTGAAGAGGGTGGGATAGGGGGCTGGGGGGGGGGGGGGCGAGGGTAGGAGGTGGGGGGTGTAAAAAAATAAAAAAATTGAAATTAGAAATATCTTTTAAAAACAACTTTTAATATTTTTTTGGGAGGGGTGGTGGTAGGGGGTGGGGGTAGGGGTGAGGGTGGGGTAAAAATATTGAATTTAAAAACAAACTTTAAATTTTATTTTTTTTGGGGGGCTGGTTTGAGGGTAGGGACCAAATAAATTGATTTTTTCAACAATTTTTTTTTTAATTGGAAGTTGGAAGAGAGTTTTGAAAAATGTTTTCCTTAAGTTTTGAAGGGAAGTCATTTTCCTTAAATTTGAGGAAAATGAATTGATTTGGAAAACATTTTTCAAAACATTTAACCCAATCAAACATGAGAAAATTGGAAAACATTTTCCTTCATACCAAACACACCCTAAGAGACCATTCTTGAAAGCTAAAAAATTGTGAAAGAGACGTATGGATGTTTCTAGACATATGTGTCTGTGTTGGGAAGTCTCTAATATCTTCTTGGCCAAGTGAACACGGATGATTCTAGAAATTGGATATTGTGTAAAATTACAAAAGAGCGTTGGTCGTCCTAATTCATCATGCTTCTATATAGTAGAAAGAGACTGGATGAGTGTTACCTGTGCTAAGCACGGGCCCAACATTTTAGGCCAAGTAATACTAATATTTTGCACCAGTAATGGTGTTCTCATTCGGTCAGGACTTGACTTTTAGGACCCGTTTGGTAAGCGATATTAAATAGAATAATTCATGAATTAAAATTTAGTCCATCTAATACATTGTTTGGTTACTTCATTTAATTTAATTCATGAATTGCTTATCCATCATATGTTGTCTTATCTCATCCCTAGAAAATGGAGGGATAACTAATTCAAGGTTTGTTAAACCTTGGATAAGACCCCTAAATGACTAAACTAACCCCTTATTTCTTTTGTAATTTAATTTCCTTTTTTATTTATATTAAAATGGTTATAAATGTTCTTTTTTAATTCTCCAAATCCCTTTAGTGTAATTTAGTGAGTTCACTAATATTTTTTTCTCCATTTTTTCTTGAATTTTTTTTATTCAAGATAGTTTGTCGATTACCCACTTGAATTATTTGTTTTTTTTTATTTTTAAATAAGCTTTTGATATTGAACAATTTAAGCAGTCTTAAATCTATGTTAAGTTTAAGATATACTTGACCAACAAAAAATTAGAAATACACCGTGCCATCAATGATCTTCTTAGTGATACATCACACCTTAAAATTAATAACAATTATATATATATATATATATATATATATATATATATATATATATATATATATATATATATATATATATATTTGATTTAACTAATTAAATGGAATAGAAATTCCTACTAAAAAAATTGTTCGATTCGACGGTTATCTACTTTGACCCAATTACATGAAATAAACACTCATAATAGCACAAAGGTATTAACAGGAAAGAAATTTTTTGTAGAGTTTTAAATCAAACACAGAATTAAGTAAAAAGTTGTTTGAATTAAGTAAAAAGTAGTGAACCAAACACTTGACAAAAAAAATTCATGCACTACTAATCTCTGCGTTACTAATCCTTGCGTTACTAATCCCTGCATTATCAATATTTGTACCAAACGACCCCTTAGTTCCTTGTTTGTTAGCTATAATAAATGTCTAAAATCACAGAGACAACATAAAAGCGTAGGCATTCTTTTTAACATAAGACAACAATCTTCAAAATTACACGTGCCCAACCCTTCCCATAAAATTTATTGCAGCCATAGCTTCATGAGCATACTTCATAGGTAAGAACCAGTAGCCCCATCACCATCATTTGTATACATCTAAGTGAAAATTAACTTTGAAATTCACACAAAAAAAAGGTGCACAAACAATGTGTTATCTACATTTTGCCCCTAGAAAAATGAATAGATTTATCACTTATGTCTATCATCCATCATCCAAACCTGAAACAACAAAACTATTAGCCTGAATTACTTCATCAGTAGTACTTCAAAAGTTATACCTACAAAAATACACTACTTTTAAAGGATCCGAATCCGACAACATTTTAAGAGAATCTAAGCACCATAGTCTATCAGTCAAAACTTCTGAATCAATCACATGATTAGATGGTTATAAGTTACAACTGCACGGCAACAAAATATACTTTGTTCTATCATGGGCAAATAGCGTGTCCTTAGAAAGTACGTATATTTAATAATTATACATTGTACTCCTACATAAACAAATGATTATTGGACAACTTAAGACTGGAAGACACCAGATATGAAATATGCATATCTGCAATTTATGAAGCATTTCAGTAATATATCTAATATCAAGCGTCATGTAAATAAAAAAACGTGAAATGTTATAGACACTCTGTTTTGGTGTAGTGGCTGAAAATGAAGAAGAAGATACTCTAACCTGCAAAACTGATGAAGAGACACAATTGAATAAGGGAAATGAGAACAACATGATTTGTTTGTCTATGTCAAGGATACCGGAAAGCATTCCGACACATACTTCTAAATGAGATCTTCTACATAGATAGTACTTTAATGATCTTTTCTTTATTTGTTCATTCACATGGAAATTTGTCAATATTGTCACATCACTGCTTACAGTAAACTTCTATATCAAGACAAGATAGAAAAAGCCATATCTTCTATTATTCAATATTAAGCAAGCTTTACAGATTCCTAATGAACATTTTAGGGGAAATGTCATAATCTAAAAATATCTTTGCAACTTTGAGAAGTTAGTGGGTGAACATGGTGGATCAATAGAAGTAATGCATGTACTTGGAATGACTTTTGTAAAATAAGCGAAAATTCATGCACGGGCCCAATGTGTAGTCTTATTCTTAATCTAAAATCGATTAATATAAATGATTAAATTACATATAAATACCATTATATCGAACATAGTATAGCTGCTAAATGTGTTTCTCTACATGTTTTGTGAATGTCATACTATTTGCATATATGAGAGTACTAACTACATTTATATATACTATATTTATAAATCAGACACTAACAGATGCATCTAGTGTTGCGATCAATTTCTTTTGGATTGTCTTTGATCAAAATCACCTATTACATTTGAAATTAGGATGAAGAAAGTAGATGATGAAAGAAAAGAAACACCAAAGGACGATGGATAAGTAGAAGAAGAAAGGAGAAAAAGCTAGAAAAGATGCTTACCTGAAATTCAATCATCAGAGAGGACGTGAAACCCTAGCCGTCTGAAATGTAAAATTTTGATGTTGAACTTCTTAAAATAAACCTTTTAAAATGTTTATGATATATATTATAAAGGAGAGATGCTTCATATTACTTCACACTTAACCTCACTTCGCCATTGAAGCACTTGCTTCTCTAAGGTGCTTCGCTTCAACACTTTGCAACATTGTTATACCACTTCGCAACGGTTCACCTCTTAAAGTGACGAAGCAGTAGCTTTCCTGGACACTAATTCTTAGCACAACAAATGAAGTATGAAACTAAAATTATTAGATACTTAGGTTGTTTCAAGTCTAATGTAGCTCGTTCT